TCTTTCCCTTCTCTCCTCTTAACCAAATTTTTTTTTCTAACTCATCCCCCACTCTCACCTCTCCTTCTTTGAATCAAATGGATCCTTATTTATACTATTTATATTTATACCTATTAATAAAGGAAATAATTTTTAAATAATCATTTTTGTCTCCATTTTTTATTGAACTATTTTACCCATTCAATTATAGAATAACTTCCTATGAATAGATGATAAAATGAGGAAAACATATATATAAATATAATTGTTTGTGTAAATATTAGAGGTACAAAGTAGTTTGATCCCTCTAGTTAATATATAATGAAATATTTTTTCTAGTAACTGTTTTTTGTTTGAAGATGTTTTATTGGCTGATTTGTTATATTTTGGAAGAAGAGCATATTATAAATTAGGATCTAACGAGTTGTATCTCAAAAGAGTAATACATTTTAAATTAATCTATTAGTATAATATTATATGTTTAATCTATCAGTACAGGATTATATGTTTAGTTTCAGTTTTTTTAACTTTTATTTTTAGTTTATTCTAGTCATTCTTATTTTAAGTTATAGTTTTACATATTTTATTTTTTAGTCTTTATAGTTTAAAATAAACATTTTAGTCTTTATACTTATTTGTGAAAGATAGTTCAACAATAAGTCTTGTGAGAGAACAAAAGAGACACTAAGTCCATCAATAAATTTAATTTATAGTAATTTTAACAAAATAAATTTGACATCACACTTTAGAAACTAAAATCTAAAGTAAGTGAAACTATAGAAACTCAAAATTTATTTTAATTTTTAATTTATTACTTGTTTTTTTGTGTGATGTAATTCATTGATAAATAATAAAATTATTTTTATTTTCATTTTCTAACAGGTTGGATCATGAATATTTGATAGTCCTCAAGGTTGGCCTAACTTATTATTAGACTTAAATTAAATCTTAAAGTAAGTCTTTTTAAAATTAACAATAGTATTTTTTGATAGAAATAAAAAATTTTAAAAATAGATGTTAAAAAATACTTATATTTGTAATCTTTTAGAGATAAATTTTGATAAAGTGAATTTAATAAAAAATAACTTTTAAGCTATGAGATTAGGGATGGCAATGGGGCCCCATGGGGGCGGATAATAGTAAACCCGCCCCCATCCCGCTGAATAAAAATTGGCCTTATACCCACCCCATATCCGCACGGGTATTCATGAATTTCTTGAATACCCACGGATATCCATGGATATTTATAAAATTTTTAAGAAATTAAAAAAAATTATATTACAAATAATTTTAAGTTTATATTTTAATGTCATTGAAATATTAAAAATAAAAATTCAATGTTAATGTTGAACTTTTATTTAACATTAATTTTGTTGAAATAATAATAAAAATTCAAGATAATCAATAACTTAAAATACATCAATCTCACAAGTAAGTTAAAGTCTCATCACACAGCTACAATAATTTAATCTCAAAATTCCAAATGAAAGTAAACAACTTAAAATACATAAATTTTATTGGTCTAATCAAAGCTAGAAAATTAATCAAATTACATCCAACATAATTTTATAACATGTTTAACACATGTCGGTAACTTTATCAACCTCACTTTTGTAAGAAAATAAGATGAGAGAGTGTAGTTTTAGGATTATGTGGTACAAGGATAATTAGGATATTTATTAGAATATTTAAAAAATAATATTAAACGGGTACCCGCGGGTATGGATATCATCATACCCGCCCCTGCCCCATTTATAAGCGAGTAAAAAATTATCCATCTCCATTATCCGCGGGTACCCAATTAGTCTATCCATTTATTATCCGTAGCGGATTTTATCCACAGATACCCGCGGGTGAGGGTATTTTTGCCAACCTATATGAGATCTTAAAAAAAATAATATAAAAATTGATATAAAATATTTTTAAAGAAAGATCTAAAGTAAAAAAAAATTTAACTTTCCTAAACCGACATGATAATCTTGACTTTTTGACCTTTGTGAGGTTTTTTTATAAAATAATTATGTAAATGACTTTCCTCAGGACTGGCCTAACATATTATTAGACTTGAAATAAATCTTAAAGTGAGTATTTTTAAAATTAACAACAGTAGTTTTTGATAAAAATAAAATATTTTAAAAATAGATGTTAAAAAATACTTATATTTGTAATCTTTTAATGATAAATTTTGTTAAAGTGAATTAAATGAAAAATGACTTTTAAGTTTTGAGATCTTAAAAAATAATATAAATATTGATTTAAAATATATTTTTTAAAGAAAGATCTAAAGTGAAAATTTTGTTGACTTTCCAGAACTGACTTGATAATCTTGGCTTTTTGCTCTTTGTGAGGTTTTTTTTATAAACTATTTATGTAAATGAGATTGTTCTAAAACATATTACGCCTTTGGATGGTTTTAAGCAGTGTTGTTGTAAAGACCCGGCTGGCCACTACTTCCACAACCATAACACACCGAAAACGCTAGATAGAATATAACAAATATATAAATATAGAGTCTAGAATATAAGTATATACAAATGTCCCGAGTCTGACTAGAGTTAGGGTGTACGATACAAGGTTTACATCAAAAGCCACTATGCCAAGTGACTAAAACAAACAAAACACCAGAAGGAGTCAGCTCCACTAACCAGCTACAGATGCACCACCTATCCCTGCTCTGCTCCCATACATAGTATGATCATTGCAGTCCAACCACATGGAAACAACAAAAAGGGTAAGCTAGCATATAAAGAACAACATATAAGGAAATTTTAAGCGATAACAACAATTACAATCATCCACAATTCACCAATAAACATCCTGTCGATTTTACAACCCGAATCATCAATACACACACAATGCGTCGTCACGCATATCACCTCGGAGATCTCCTACCACAACTCAGCCTTTCGGCCTACACACCTCAGCCTTTCGGCCTACAACACCTCAGCCTTTCGGCCTACAACACCTCAGCCTTGCGGCCTACATCATCCAATATCATCACACATTTCATCATAATTGTACAACTCAACATATCGGCTTTCAACAACGCACCACTAATACAACTCAACATATCAACTTTCAATTAAAATACAACTAATGCAACTCAACATCAACAACAATATTATTTACTCATCAACACACCATATTCATCCATTCTAATTCAACTCGGTACATAATGAATTATCATCTATGCGCCCGGCGCACTCAGAGTTACGCCCAGCGCATTTCAACAAAAAAGGGCACCAGGGGCCAGAGCGCCCGGCGCAAGTATGCCCGCGCCCGGCAGAACTCAACCAGAGAGCCTAACTCCCTTATGCGCTTGGCGCAA